TCATAGCTGGCCTCACAATTTCATACTAAATTTAAAAACTATAATTAGTATTTATTCATATATTATATTTTAAAATCAAAGAACTACTAATCAGGATATAATTAAAGAAATAAGAGTTCATGTTGCTTTTAAAATATTTCACCAATTTCTCTAAAGGAAACACTATCTACAGATTTGCATCGAAGCGTTTCTTATGATAGTGATTTTAATCACTGTCAGATATCATCTATACTTGTCCCATCTATGCCTCGTCCACACTGTGCCTCGACCTCACTGTGCTACCGTTTTTATAATTGTTTGACAACGTAAATGTCAGATCGATACACTTAAGAGAAATGTAAACTCCCTTTTGTAACGTTTTGATAACTTAAATATCAAAACTGTATTGAGTGATTATGAATAACNGTAAACTCCCTTTTGTAACTTTTTGATAACTTAAATATCAAAACTGTATTGAGTGATTATGAATAACTCAATACCTAATAATATAACTAATAATGATTAAAATGAGAAAAGGAAAATAAAGGATGATTTATAAGGACAGTTTTTAAATGAATGAAAGAAAAAATTAGATATGAAGAATAAGAATGTATAATATGGAATTAAATCAATAGAAATTGTTGAAAGGAAAAGAGAAAATGACTGTTAACTTTAATTTCAGAACTATAGTCCAAAGAGAAACATAAAATCCCTTTATAAAACTTTTGGACAACGTAAATGTCAAAACTATACTCNGACAACGTAAATGTCAGAACTGTAGTTTAAAGAGAAACATAAACTCCCTTTATAAAACTTTTCTACAACGTAAATGTCAGAACTTCGTTGAGTGATTGTTAACAAGTCAATACCAAGGAGTAAGATGAGAAGAGGAAAATGAAGGATGATTTATAAGAAGAGTTTTTAGATGAATAGGAAAAAATTAGGTATGAAAAAAAGAATATATAATTAGGAATTAAATCAATGGAAAATTTTGAAAGGAAAAGAAAAAAAAAATTATACTTACCTGTCTTTTTATGTATATCGCAATAAATATCTTCTTCATTAGCTTTTCTATTTTAAAAAATAATAATATTTTAAAAGATTTATACTGTTAAAAACTTTTATACAGATATTAAAACTCTATCATAATTTTCTTAAATATTATCATGAACAGTTTTTCAAAAGAAGATTAAAATTATTTACCTAATTTTTTGAAAATAATTCGGGGTGATTAATTAACAACGCTTCACGAAATTTTACAAAAGAATAATACCTTATCTCTGTTTTTTTTTTAACAATAATGATTATTTGTTAAGTTACTCTATTAGTAGTGAAATTGAATTTCTAGTATTATCCCTTATGCCTTAAACTATCATCAAGTTTTGTTTTTTTTTCAAATAACGGTACTAATAATATTTTTGCTTTGATGCGAAGCTTAGAAGGTATTAATTTTACTATGATGTGTTTTTTTTTTTTTGTGTCTGTTAACACTTTTTCTCAGCTCTCACTGAACCGATTTCTTTCAACGATATGTCAAAAGATCACAAATCGTATCTAGTCGAAAACATTAACATCAAAAATTGAAAAAATTTCCCTCGTTCCCCGTAAA